AATACAAATATACATCAAAGAATATATAATAGAATATATAATAAAATATATAATGTACTATTTATAAAATAATATATAATAAGTATTATTATTTATAAAATAATATATATTATACTTTATATATTATATATAATATTAAAATATTAAAATATATTTATTATATTATATATTATATATTACATTATATCTAATATACATATCTATTCAAGTTTTTGTGTAAATAATTTCACACCAACCATACGCTACCAAACATATGAAACTGTTTACGCAAGGCTTTTTAAATGTGCTACCAAACATGGTAAAAAGAATGCATATGCAAATATTTACACAAGTAAAGTATTTATAGGTGTAAATATTTCCCAAGAAAGATTTACGTTTCCCAAGAAAGATTTACGTTTCCCAAGAAAGATTTACGTTTCCCAAGAAAGATTTATGTTCCTCAAGATTCTTTCAACATATCTGGTAACAACAGAATAATTTCCAAATCTAAGAGGATTCCCCAGCAGATCTCCCAATTCACTAGAAGATCTAGAAGATCTATGGAGCATCCCATTAAGTGGGACGTGAGGCCTTGAGGGCCCCATTTCCACACCAATATGGTTCCCACACATGTGAAGGCTGGGCCCTTGGACCCCATGTCAGTCCCATTATGCCCCTATTAACTTTAGAATTTCTAAAAATGTCATTGTAGGGTTTTCAGCCTTCAAAACAATTTATAAAAATTCTAAGAAAATCCAAATGTCATAGGAACATAAATAAAGTTGAAAACAATATTTTTGAAGCTCTTCAAAAATTCTAGAACACTCAGAAATACCTCTAGAAGTGGATTGGTACCAATGGATCAAGAAAAGTGACGCTCAGAGCCCTCCACCCGTGCTAGAAACTATGATCCACAACTATTTTCTCAAACCAATCCAATAGTACCTATGACCCAAAGATATGTGGAGAGACTCATGATTAGCCCATTAAATGGCCAATAAATAGTGAAACCACGATCATAGCATGTGGAATACAGATTCCTCCCTAATAGAAAATCACATGCATATATCAATATAGTGCAAGGGGACTCCCTCTATGCGCATGTACATGTATCCCTCTATAGGCTTGCTTCCCAAAATGCAGTTCTCATGGGTACATGGCATGCAAAGGTTTATTGAAGATTTGGCCCTCACTCTCACAAGCCTACAACAGCACACAGGAGACCACAAAGCTCTCTTGGCCTACAAAACATCGTTCATAAGCATCTCCCAGACCTCAACAAGGGATGATCCTCAAAAACCCTCAATAGTAGTGTGTCTATCCCTAAAGAAAATGGGTTTTTTGACTTGACCTGTGTCATGGAGAGCTCAATCCAAGGTTAGTCAACCATCATACACTCCCACTAAAGTGAACAATCCACTATATTTATTTTTTGTACATGCTCTCATGGGCTATAAAGGCCACAATCCCAACATACCCCACAATCGAATGTGTTCCAAGGAGCATGAGGAGCTCCAAAGGCAGGTATTTGAGCTTCTCAAAGAGGGCCTTATTCGGGAGAGTCTAAGCCCATGTGTCGCACCTGCCTTACTCACGCCAAAGAAGGATGGATCTTGGAGGATGTTTGTAGACATAAGGGTTATAATAAGATAACTATCAAGTACAAATTTCCTGACATGTTATTTGGTTCTCAAGTCTTCTCCAAAATAGGCCTAATGAGCAGGACCCATCAAATAAGGATTAGAGAAGGAGATAAGTGGAGGACAGCTTTCAAGACAAAGAAGGGGCTTTATGAATGGCTGGTCATATCGTTTGCTCCTAATACTTTTATGAGATTTATGAATCAAGTACTGAAACCATACGCCGGGAAGTTGATCTATTTCGCCAACATTTTGGTTTATAGCAAGGATTGTAAGACTCATGTTGAATACTTGAGGATTAC